TAGATAGCTAGATAGCTAGATAGCTAGATAGCTAGATAGCTAGATAGCTAGATAGCTAGATAGCTATCTATCTAAATAAATAGATCGATCGATCTAGACAGACAGACAGACAGATAGATACATAGATGAAAAGCTTTCCAGAGCCAAAATGGCAAGGAAATAGACACAGCGAGCAGGTAGAACAGCCTGCCACATGAAGTAGAAGTAGAGGAGGGCTTCCACGTCCCTGTCACCAGGGACTAGCCACTTTTAAGTTATGAATGTTGCTGCAATTTTAAATTGTTGTATTGTTTTATATATTCCCCCTCCCCTTTTTATTGTAAGCCGCCCGGAGTCTTCGGAGAGTGGGCAGCATAGAAAACTAATACAAATACTTGGGCCTTGCGGTTAAGGGAGGGGAGCAGCCATGCGTGAAAGATTGCGTTTCCATTGCAGCTCAATTGTCTGGCATGGAGACAGGGAGAAACTTTCCGGTAAACAAACACAATGTCTTTGTGTGTATGTGTGTGTGTACGTGTGTTCCTTCTTCCAGTAACTGGGGGAAGACAAAAGTGAAAACGCCAAATTTTGCACCTGGAGGATTTGGAAAATTAAAAGCATCCGATGGCTTCCCAGACTGGAAACTCTTCATCCGTGACCCCTGGCTGGCAGAGAACCTCTTTGTGGCGGGAAGCAAAACATTGACTACCCCCCCAATGAGAAAAATGCCCCCTTCCCCAAATCCTCAACCCGTTTCTTAGATGCGGCGTTCAAATGTGCAGCCCCCAAATGCAGGAGGGGAGAAAATATATTATTTGTACCTGCGTGATTATCAATCTACTTTAAAAAATAATAATAATTAAGGCTCAGCGTCTCAGATTAAGGGCATGCCAATGGGGGGGGGGCACAGCAATAGTTGGGAGGGGGGCTTAAAGTCAAGGTGGGTGGAGCCAAAGAAGGTGGGGAGGGGCTACCTGTCATCCCTTTGTTCTGTTTTTTTTTTTTAAATCCCTTTTCAAAACACTTTTCAAAAGACCTTCCCCTCCTCTGTCGTTTTGCATGGATNCAGCATGGATGGACTTCATCTCCCAGAATTCTCCAGCAAGCATGGATGGACTTCAGCTCCCAGAATTCTCCAGCCAATATGGAGGGACTTCATCTCCCAGAATTCCCCAGCCAGCATGGGTGGACTTCATCTCCCAGAATTCCCCAGCCAGCATGGATGGACTTCAACTTCCAACTCCTGCCTGCTCCATTCCGCAAAGATTTGGGGATGAGGAAAGTAGGAGACCAAAATTGTCTTTTTGCCGAATGGGGTTAGAAGGGACCCTAGAGGTCATTTAGCCCAACCCCTGTTCAGTGCGATTGTATCTGAATACCAGAACTGATTGTGTCCTCATTTCACACCCAAACGAAGAAATCTCACACCCAGAAAAAAAAAAACCACAATACAGTTAGTCCTTGACTTACAATAGTTCATTTAGTGACGCAATCCCTGTTTTGGCGACCTTCTGATCAAGGTGAGAGGGGGGGGGAGGAAAGCTGGATTCACTTCGCAACCGGGCCGCTGATTTTTTTTTAAAAAAAACCGCAGCGAGGGTGGCAAGAAAGTTTATCAAAGCTCCCTCCACAAATGTCTCGCTTAGCGACATCAATCCTGGGCTGAATCGCGGCCGTAAATCGAGGAGCATAGAATGGGATCCAATATTCAGGAACAGGCTGAAACCAGTTCTAGATGTTTGACTTGCTGAATATACAATTAAAGCTTTATGTACACAAAGGAAGCAGTTCCATATCAAGACACCAGAGCAGTGGGTGTGGAGTCACAGAAATAATTATTTTCATTTTCACTTCGACTTTCAAGCTGAACTCTCGATCTTTCGAGGCGGGGAGATTTTTATTTTTATTTTTTTGAAAAAAAGAACTTATTTTCCAGGTGACTAACTCGAAGGGCTGAATCCAGAGGGAATTTTAATTTTTAAAAAACAAACAGGAGCATTTAAGGACGTGGCAGGATGCCGTGCCGGGAATCGAGTGGGTCGGAAAGCTACTTGATCTGGATCCG